GATTTATCTAGTTCTGAGAGGGAAAAGTTGAGGTCACCTATTAATATGGCTTTATTGTCTGTTTCATTCTGTAACTCATTCAACTTCTCTTTCAAAAATTTAGATGCTAACTGAGAGATCAAGGAATAGTTTGCCTGTCAGATTTATGGAGAACGGAAGAATTTATGACCAAGTGAGATAGAGAACATTATGAAATGCAAAATGTATAATTTTGATTATATTAAATTGAAAAGTTTTTGCACAAACAAAGCCAATGAGACTGAGATTAGGAAGGAAGCAGAAAACTGGAAAAGAATTTTTATAATCAGTGTCTCTGGTAAAGGCCTCATTTCTAAAATATAGAGAGAACTAAGTCAAATTTATAAGAATATGAGTCATTCTCAAATTGATAACTGGTCAAAGGATATGAACAGGCAGTTTTCAGAGGAAGAAATTAAGGCTCTCTATAGTCATATAAAAAAATGCTCTAAATCACTATTAATTAGAGAAATGCAAATCAAAGTGACACATCACACCTATCAGATTGGCTAACATGACAAAACAGGAAAATAATAAATGTTGGAGATGTGGGAAAATTGAAACACTAATGCATTGTTGGTAGAGTTGTGAAGTGATCCAACCATTTTGGAGAGCAATTTGGAACTGTGCCCAAAGGGCTATAAAAATGTGCATACCCTTTGACCCAACAATACCACTTCTAGGGCTATATTCCAAAGAGATCATAAAAATGGGAGAAGGACCCACATGTACAAAAATACATATAGCAGCTCTTTCTGTGGTGGCAAAGAATTGGAAATTAAGGGGATGCCCATCAATTGGGGAATGGCTGAACAAGTTGTGGTATATGGATGTAATGGAATATTATTGTGCTATAAGAAATGATGGACAGGCGGACTTCAGAAAAACCTGGAAAGATTTGTATGGACTGAAGCTGAGTGAAGTGAGCAGAACCAGGAGAACACTGTACACAGTAACAGCCACATTGTGCAATGACAAACTTTGATAGATTTAGCTCTTCTCAGCAATGCAAGAATCTAAGACATCTCCATGATGGAAAATGCTATCCACAGCCAGAGAAAGAACCATGGAGTCTGAATGCAGATCAAAGCATACTATTTGCTCTTTTTTTTCTGTTTTGTTTTGTTTCATCTTTCTTGTGGTTCCTCCTATTTGTTATAATTCTTTACAACATGACTAATGTGAAAATATGTTTAATAGGAATGTATATGTAGAGCCTATATCAGATTGCATGCCATCTTGGGGAAGGAGGAGGGGAGTGAGGTGGAGAAAATTTAAAACTCAAAAGCTTACAGAAGTTAATGTTGAAAACTAAAAATAAATAAATTAATAAAAAAGTTAAAAATAAATAAAATGTAAGTATTCCTGGGGAGAAAAAAATGTAGATGCTATACTATTTAATGCACATATGTTTAGTATTTCTATTAATTCACTGTCTGTGGTACCTTTTAGCAAAATGTAGTTTCCCTGCTTATCTTTTAAAATTAGATCTATTTTTGCTTTTTCTTTTTCTGAAATCATGATTATTACACCTACTTTTTTTTTCACTTCAGTCGAAGCATGATAGATTCTGCTTCCTTTTGCTCATTGTGTCTCTTTGTTTCAAGTATACTTCATGTAAATAAAATATTGTTGGATTCTGTTTTTTTAGTTCACTTTTTTATCAAATTCCATTTTATGGGTGAGTTTATCCCATTCACATTTACAGTTATGATTATTAACTGTGTATTTCCCTCTATCCTATTTCCCCCTGTGTATCCTTCTCTCTCTCTCTTTTTACCCTGTCCTTCCTCAAAAGTTTCTTCTGCTTCTGACCACTACCTTCCTTAATCCACCTCCCTCCCATTCTCTTATTCCCTTCCCCTTCTACTTCCCTGAAGAATAAGATAAATTTCTATACCCAACTGAATGTTCAAGTTCTTTCCTCTTTGAGCCAATTTCAATGAGAGTAAGGTTCAAGTGTTGCCCACCACTTACATCCCAATCTTGCCCTCCGTTGTAAAATCTCTGCCTTTCATACTTTTTAAAAGTAAGATAATTTCCTCCATTCTTCTTCTCCCTTCCCTCTTCTCCCAATGCATCCCTCTTCCTCACCTCTTAATTTTATTTTTTTTAATTATCCCATCATAGTCAACTCATGACAGTGCCCTATGTATATGTACAGTCTCTCTAAATGCCTAATAATGATAAAGTTCTTATGAGTTACAATTATCACCTTCCCATACAGGAATGTAAACATTTAAATCTTGTTGATTCCCTTATGATTTCTCTTTCATGTTTACTTTTTTATGTTTCTCTTGAGTATTGTATTTGAAAATCAAATTTTTGTTCAGATCTGCTCTTTTAATTAGGAGTGCTTGAAAGTCCTTGTTTGATTAAATATCCATTTTCCCCCCTGAAGAACTATACTCAGTTTTTCTGGGTAGGTTATTGGTTGTAATCCTAGCTCCCTTTCCTTCTGGAATATCATATTCCAAGCCCTCCAATCCTTAAAGGGGGAAGCTGCTAAATCTTGTGTGATCCTGACTGTGGCTCCATGATATTTGAATTGTTTCTTTTTGGATACTGGAAGTATTGTCTCCTTGACCTGTGATCTCTGAAATTTGGCTATAATATTCCTGGGCATTTTTATTTTGGTATCTTTTTTTAGAGGTGATTGGTAGATTCTTTCAATTTCTATTTTACCCTCTGGCTCTAGGATATCAAGGAAGTTTCCCTTGACACTTTCTTGAAAGATGATGTGTAGACTCTTTTTATTATTATTACTATGGCTTTCAGGTGGTCCAATAATTTTTAAATTATCTCTCCTGGATCTGTTTTCCAAGTTGGTAGTTTTTCCAATGAGATATTTCACATTTTCTTCTATTTTTTCAATTTAAAAAAATTTTTTTTATAGTTTCTTGGTGCCTCACGGAGTTATTAGCTTCCACTTGCCCAATTCTAATTTTTAAGTAATTATTTTCTTCAGTAAGCTTTTGTATCTCTTTTTCCATTTGGCTAATTCTGCTTTTTAATTAGTTCTTCTCTTCAGTGGATTTTGGTGCCTCTTTTACCATTTGGTCAATTCTGTTTTTTTTAAGGTGTTATTTTCTTCAGTATTTTTTGTGCTTCCTTTGCCAAGCTGTTGAATCTGTTTTCATAATTTTCTCACATCACTCTCATTTCTTTTCCCAGATTTTCCTCCACCTCTCTTATTTGAGTTTTTAAATTCTTTTTAAGCTCTTCCAGGAATTATTTTTGGGTCTGTGACCAATTCACATTTTTCTATGAGGCTTTGTCTGTTGCTATTTTGACTTTGTTGTCTTCTTATGAGTTTGTGTCTTGATCTTCACCATAACTCTTTATGGTCAGGTTCTTTTTTTTCGGGGAGGGGTTGTTGTTGTTGTTTGTTTGTTTGCTCATTTTTCCATTTGACTTTTAACTTTATGTTATAGTTGGGCTCAGCTTCAGGAGTGGAGGGGCCACTGTCCCAAGCTTCAGTTCTTACTTGTTACTGTTTTTAGAACTAGCTTTGGGGTCTGCAGGTTTTCAGTGTTTCCAAGTGGAGTGATCTAGAGGAAGGTGTGATCACTGCTCTCCTGGCCTGTGCTTTAGTCTTTTACCCATGAAGGGAACTTGTTCCCCTATAGCTAATGGTGGTAGCACTCCTCTTGGCCTTGAGACAGTGACCAGGTCCTACACTCTCCTGTAGCCACAATTGCTAGTGCTTCTCTCTGTCCTGAAATTGAGAGCAAGTTTCCTACTCCTTTGTGAGTGACCACATGTACTCCTTTTCACCCTGGAACCACAACTGGGGCCCCTGCTCTCCTGTGGCTACAAGTGCTATTGCTCCTTTTGGTCCTGGGACTGTGACCCAGAACTGCTCATTGGCAATACAACAGGGTACTAAACCCAGTACCAGCAAAGAGTCCCCTACAATCTCCTTCTGACCACTCCACAATCTATGGGCTGAAAATTCCCAAAGCTTCCACTGCTGCCAATACAGTCACCTCCAGGACTAGCTGCTGGGCCCACAGCATGGCCTTGCTGCCCAGTCTGCACTGCACTTCAAGCCTGACCACCACTGAGTAAGACAAACCTTTCCTGCAGACCTCCTAAGTTGTCTTGGGCTGAAAGATTGTTTGACTTGGATTTTTATTGGTTCTGCCATTCCAGAATTTGATTTGAGGCATTATTTTAGAGTTGTTTGGAGGAGAATTTGAAAGAGCTCAGTTGAGTGCTTATCTACTCTCCTATCTTGGCTCTGCCTCTCTCTTAGTGAATGTAGCAGGAACGTGTCCATGATTTTGACAGTGTTTGATATATAGGCACAGTGCCTGGTACATAGTGGGTACTACATTTGTGAATGCCTATTGATCGATTGATTGACTGTAAGCATAGACTCACAGGATCATGGACTCAGAATTAGAAGAGATTTTAGAGATGTTGTTGTACAAACCCTACATCTTTGATATGAGGAAATGGGTCCAGAGATGTCCCAGGTAGTAAGTGGCAAAGCCACAATTTAAATATATATCCTCTGAGTCTGGAGCCAATGCCTTTCCCATTTCAGCACTCTCTGGATGTACCATGCATCTTTCTCAATGAATTTGTCAAAAAAAAAAAAAGGACACTTAAAAGATTGGGTGGAGAGTGTATTTTCTTCATGCCAAGGTATTTGGCTTTGATAAGTACCCAATGGGGAGCCACTAAAGAGTTTTGAGCAGTGGAAGAACTAGGAAAACTGATTGGCACCATCTTGAATTTCTCTTTGCATCTTCAAATGAGTAATTTTAAGGTAATATAGAAGAGAGGCACACATTGAAGCATATAAGAAATAGAATTAGTAGAACATGTTGTGCATATGTTTTCTCTTACCTATTTGGTGATTACATTTCAGAGACCTAAGACATAAATTTCTATAATTTTAAGTTGCTTCCTGTAATTCTTTCTTAATTAGTGTATGAATTAAATGTATTCTATTGGTTTTATTGATCTGTTAGGATACTCATGCGGCCTTTGACAGATTTGATCCCTTGTGTCTTTTGCCCTTCTGTCAAGATTATTGGACCTATGCTGGATCTTTGACCACCCCACCACTTACAGAATCTGTCACTTGGATCATTAAGAAAAAACCAATTGAGGTTGGTCATAATCAGGTGAGTCATGTGTGTAACCAGCTTCTTAAAATTCTTGGCCTAGACTGGATTTCCTGGATGAATTTAAGAAATTCCACAATAGCTAGAAGTTATGCTTTCATATTTTAAATCAGTAAAAGATGACTGTATAAATCAAAAAGGAGGCAAGCCAATAATGTGGTGAGATGGAGAGATAAAATGTGGACAACCCAAGTTCTATGATGTTGCATACATAATGGCAAGTGGCCTTGAAGAAGGTCCTCAGCAGGTTGGCTGGACTCCTGAGTGGATTTGTAGGAGAAACTACACAAGAATTATATAAGATGAGCGATGTCAATGAGTTGTGGTTTCTGGGGGAAATGTCTCAGCCTGGGTTCCTAGAGAGCCTGGGGAGATACTCACCTGCCAGAGGGCAAGACCGGAGGTCAACTAACTGAGTAGTCAAATGAAAAAGATAATATATTAGCATGCTAAGGAAGCTTATTTGCCAGTAGAAGGTTTAACTTCCTAAGGTTCAGATTTTGTCTTATGAGGATTTTTCCAGATTGCCTAGAGTATCCAGCTAATCAGCAACATTCCATGGCATTTGAATGGATCAGTGCCATGAAGTCTATTACTATAAGAAAGAAAGACCAGAAGCTTCTATTTGGAGAGGCTCCTAAATTTGTGAAGTCCCATACATAGAGATGGCAACCCATCTAGAGCTTCCTATACTATGAGATTCTTGTCCAAGTCCTTCCATAAATGCCCTGTATTAATATATAAATGCTCCACATAATGTGTATGCCTTATATAAATATCTAAATGTCCTATATAATATATATGCCCTATATAAATGCCCCATATAATACTATTTTTAATTTTTTATATTTTTAATTTTATGCTATTAAATATGTATTTAAATATATAAATGTTTTATATAAATACACAAATTCCTGTATAAATATATAAATACCCATGAAAATCCATAAATGCCTCATATAAATCTATAAATGCCCCATAAGATCTATAAATACCCCATATAAATATCTAAATGCCCCATGTAAATGTCTAAATACCCCCATATAAATATATAAATTATATGTGCAGATATTTATATATTTATTCTCCACATAACCATGTAAGTGCTCCTTCTACTCTATCTGATGCATCCTCTGCATTGCAGTCTGGACCCAGCCAACCCAGCTCATTCTGCCCTGCCCTGAAAGTCTGTTATGTTCCTGCTCCCTGGCAAATCCCTGACTGGATTCTTTACCTTGCTCCTATCCAACCACTTTGGAATGATGACTGTTGACAGAGGTTTGAGGGAGACCTTTCATTTTGTTCTGTGCTTTGGAAAGAACAACTCAATACTCAGATCAAGGTCGGAAATCACCTTGAGAGCCCTGGCCCAGGGTCCTGATACCTATAGACTGAGATCATGACCTTTCTAGACAAGGCCTGGGTTGTGCTTGCACCAGGATTTACACTCATGGAGATAATAAGACATCTTGCTAAAAAGCAGTTTCAGTTGGTAGATCTGGGAGCCTTCATGTTAATCGATATTCAAGAGAATAAGCCTGACCATTTCGTTCACCTTCCCCAAACCACCTTCAATCAATTCCGATGGCTCCCTGTCACCTCCAGGATCAAATATAAGATCCTTTGTTGGATGTTCAAAGTTTTTCGTCACCCAGCCCCTTCCCACCTTTCCCTTCTTGTACTTTACACTTCCCCACCATGCACACAAAGATCCAATGACACTGGTCTTCTTGTGGTCACTTGCACAAGACACTCTACATCTAAACTGTGCATTCTCACTGGTGTCCCCCATGCCTGGAATGCTCTCCCTCTTCATCTCCCTCTCCTAGCCTCACTGGCTTCCTTCAAGTCCCAACTTAATAAATGCCGGTTGCCTGATGAATGAATGAATGAATGAACGCAAAAGTCCTTCAGTTGTAAACAGAGTCCTGTCACTGCCTTGTGGTTTGTTGTGGTGGTGAGCTGGAAGAGGCCTCATGAAGATTGGTAGAGGGAAGGTGGTTGTTGGAACTCTCCAGGAAGAAGCTGACTCCTTCTAGGGGTACTATCAGCCTTTAAGAGTCAAAGTTTGGTAATTAAAGTCTCCAAGTGGGATTTCTTCAACTCACTTTACATTATAACTGAAGAGGGATAGAATTTTAAGGAAGGGATTTTCCCCCCAAGAGAAAAAGGCAAATGCAGAAAAAAATGGTGGGACCAGATGCGTTTGTATTAGAGGCCATCTAGGGGCCCATGGAGGGACAGGGACATGTTTAGCTTTGAGAGGTAAGTGTGGCATAGTGGACTTGGAGTCAGGAAAATTCCAGCTTGGACCTTCAATGACTGTGTAACCATGGGCAGGTAACATCTTCTTTGGGTCTTATTTTCGCCATCTGTAAAATGAACAATAAAATACTTCCATTGTGGACCTCCCAGGGTTGCTATGGGGAAAGTGGCTGGTAAAATTGAGATGTTAATGATATTAATTGAAATATTAATGAAATCATTATTTTTATAAAAGCTCTGGGCAGCAGGAGGATAAGGGGAATGAAGATGGGGCACTGGAGGCAGGAAAGGTTCTCCAGTATGACAAAGAGGCCCCTTAAGGCCAAAGGCAAATCTGGTGTATGTTGTGATTGTCATTCAGTCATTCTGTTGTGTTTGACTTTTCTTGAACTCATGGATCATATCACGCCAATGCTCTCCATGGGGTTTTCTTGGCAAAGATACTGAAGTGGCTTGCCATTTCCTTCTCCAGTGAATTAAGGCAAACAGAGGGGAAATGACTTGTCCAGGGTCACACAGCTAATAAATGTCTGAGGCCGGATTTGAACTCAGGTCTTCCTGACTCCAGGTCTAGCACTGTTTTTCACTGAGCCATGAAGCTACCTCCACACAATGTGGTTATGCCTAGAGTTAATTCTAATTTGTTGTGGTTCCTTCTTAAACTTTTAAAACTTGAAGGTTATAAAACCCCTGGCTATCAGAGGGAAATTCTGAAACTCTTCATTACTGTAATCTATTTAATTTGGGAGTGAAGAATCTGACCTCCACACTGATAAAGTATTTTTTGAAAGCGTTACCAAAGGTGTTTCTGGATTTGTCCACAGCCAGAACTCGTGCTGTCTCTGAAGCATGGATATTCAAGTCTAGAAACCTTGGCATCCATATCCAAGCATTGTTGTTGGCTGTTGTTCTATGCAGGCCCCCTAACCCTGATGAGTTACTTGATCTTTTTTCTAGCTAGCTGAGTTTCGGAGGCTACTGTTTTCTGCCCTTGGGGAGGAAGAGAAGAAGATGGTGAACAACTTTCGCCCACTTCAACCTCTCATGAATCGTACTGTCTGGTCATCCTTCCAAGCCTAGCACTTTTGAAACACAGGACTTATCTCCAAATAGAATCCCCTTCTTACACCCCCGATCAACCCATGTCTAGCTGTCTTTAAGAAAGAGCCAGTGTGATATTTCAGCATTCCAATTTGCTAAGAAAGGCAGGATAGAAATTGATGTGACCTATGCCACAATAAACTAAGAAAAATAGATCCATTTCATCCATCCAATTCATACATTTGATCCATTCATTGGGCGACTCATTCATTCAATCATTTCAACACGTATTTATTAAGTACCTACTGCTTATAGAGCGCTATTCTAAACACTGATGGAAATCAGAGCTTGGATGACACATTCTTTGCCTTCATGGAACTCATAGTCTACTAGGACAATAAGACATAAATGCATGGATGACTGTGGTATACAATATCCCATGATAAGCTGATCTGAGAGGCACAAAACAATATAATAATCTGAAATGTGAGAAAGCTTTTTGAAAGAGGTGTTATCTGAGATGAGCTTTAAAGGATGGCTAAGGATTCAATCAATTTGGCACTCTGACATCATTTTAAGAAAAAGACTCTGAAAGTTTGTTAACACAAAAAATGCAAGAATAGTTGGGTTTGATGCGGAGAATCCTTGCTTAGCTGCTAGGAGGGACATGGTCTCTGTCTCAAACACTGAAGCCAACCATAACCCTGGCACCTCTGGGAAATCTTAGGGACAGCCTGGATTTTTAGATTAGTATCAAGGTATAGTTGAAATATAAGCATTATATTATCATATAAAGCATTAGGTGCTTTAAAATATCCACAGAACTTTACAAATATTATCTCATTTGACCCTCACAACAAAGCTGGGAGGTAGGTGCTATAATTATCTCAATTTTACAGATAAGGAAACTGAGGCAGATGGCAGTTTAAGTGACTCTAAACCAGTGCTCTGTCCTAGCTTTCTAGGTGAAAAGGGCACCAGCTATAAATCGGGACAACTGGCTTTTTGCCCTAGTTTTACCACTAACTCAGTAACTAGTTGTGAGATTTTTAGATAAATGACTTCCTCGCTTTGGATCTTCATTTCCTCTGAAATATTTCCTCATTGCAAAATCAGGTGTTTGGACTACAGGTTTTCCAGAATGGCTTTCAGCTCTGACATTTTATGTTCTAAGATCCCTTCCAGCTTCCTATGTCCTAGCATGCCTTTTTCTACTTCTTACATTCAAGAGTTGTAAAATGAGCCCAAGATATCTCAAGCCAGTTTTAGATTGGTTTTCTGGCTTGAAGCCCAGGTCAAATCCAGGGAATGAAGAGGAAGGGTCTAATTTACTCAAGGGATATCTCCAAGGCTGGGTGTCGGGGTGAGGAAGAGAGGGCAAGAGGGAATGGGCTACTCAGTGGCCGAGAATTGACCAACATACGTTAGTCTCCACGTGCCGAACAGGCTTGCAGCTGACCACCAGATACCAAAGGGATTTGTGTGACCATTGAGGATGTGCTTAGCTGACACAAATACATAATCAGGCCACTGTCTGACTTGACTGAAATGTATTAATACTCATTCCTCAAAGTTCAGTAGGATTTTCAGCCTTCAGCTGGACTTCAGACCCAGAATCTGAGCTGCAATTCCTCAGTAAGTCCTGTGACTCAGGGCCAATAGGCTCCTAGGAGACAAAAGGGTTTATAATCTTGCATGTCATTGATATCCTTAAACTTTATCTGGTATTATTTTGGAAAGTGGAATCAGGCTGCTGCCTGAGCATATCTTAAAGGTCAGCCATGCTCTGTTTAAAAACAGAACCAAACTAAACCAACCCAGACTCTCTCTTAAGCTAATACCACTAGGTCCCCGGCCAAGGCTCTCAGGCAGTCCTTGCCCTCTGTTTCCCAAGGTTCTAACCTTGTAAAACTCCTCTTCACTCAATTTAGCTCAATTCAATTCTATGTAATTCAATGAACATTGCTTAAATATCTGCTCTATGAAAAGTTTGCCTCTGGGCATTAGGATTCCTCAAGGAATCCCTTTTGGACCTGCTACATCTCCATACCGGTTGCCCCAACCTCACTAAAGTCCACTTGCCTTCTCTCATTGCTGAGTTCCTCCAGGAGTCTCTGTTTTGTGAAGAAGCCAGGGTAGAGAGTGTATCCCACCCCTTCCGCTGTGCCCTCTAGAACATCTGATCCTTAGGTAACAAACTTACTTTCATCTCAAACCTGTTCCTTTTTCACTCCTGCCATCTCTTTGCACTCACTGAAACCTGCCTCCCTTCAGATGACACAGCTTCCCAGGTCACTCTCTTTACACTTTCATTCATACCACTCACTAGCTGGAGTTGGGGACCTGCTAATCCTCTTTGCTCTCCTTTACCACTTTCCAAGTTCTCCCTCTACACCACCATTCAGCAACCTCTCCTCTGATGTTCATTCACAATCCATATTTATCAATCAAGATTCTGACAATCTCCAGGACGCTCTTCCTCCCTCTTCAAAGAGGTCAGTGTCTGGCTCACAGTCTTTCTCTCATCATTAACTTCTGCCCTCTTACTAGGGGATTGCAACATATATATTGATACTCCCTCAAATGCCCTAATTTTTCAGTTCTTCAACTTACTTATTTCACACGACCTGCTCCTCCACCCCATCTTAGCTACACAGAGAGATGGTCACCCTCTGGATCTTGCCATCACCCATAAATGCAACATTTCCTTGTTCATTAATTCTGAAACGGCCTGTTCTTGGTCTTCACCATGACCTCTAGTCCCCTAGTTCTTTTCCAGGCACTGGCTACAGTCTTCTTCTTTCCCCAGCTTGACCCGTTGGCCAACCAGTTCAACTGTATACATTATCCTTTTCCTTCAAGTCCACTGTTCTCTTATCCTATAGTCAATCTTGCCCTGACAAGTGCTAGCCTTTACTTATTCCTACTACTCATTGCTGCCTTTGTTCTTGTAAAATGTACGTAAAATGCTCCTGAAAGAAGCTGGAGAAAATCACAAAATTGTGCTGACTGGTTCCACTAAAAATTTATATTTATATTGCCCAAGGCAGTCCTTTTATACGTTCCTAATTGATTCAATTTCCCGTTCACCACAGTGTCTTTTCCAAACTTTTTCATCCCTTTGCAAACCTCCCAATGTTCCCCCTCTACCCTTTTTCAGCTGAGAACTTTGCCTCGTATTTCACTTAACTAAATGAGCTTCCTCTTCTCCCCTTCCTAGGCGTTTCGTATCACTCAGATACTCTCTACCACTAGTTTCTTCTTCACCCCATCTCACATGAAGATGTGGCCATTCTGCTGGCCAAGGCAAGCCCTTCTACGTGCACAAGGGATCTCATTCCATCCTGTATTCTCCACCAGACTGCCTCTTCTTTTATCCGTACCCTCGCTGATCTTGACTTGCTTTCTGTCTAATGGCTGCTTCCTTGCTGACTTGGATATACCCATGTCTCTCCCATCTTCAAACAACATCTGGCTAGCTATCATCCTGCATTTCTCCTCCTTTTCATGGCTAAACTCCTTGAAAATGCTTTCTACTTTCAGAATATCTCTCGTCTGACACAACTACCACTCTGAGGCAGGACCTCATCAACTCAAGCCTGGATTACTTGGAGAGCCTTAGATTGGTCTCCGTGCCTCTAATGTCTCCCCACTGTAGCCCATCCTGTACTCAACTAGCAAAGTGATCTTCCTAAAGTTAACATCTGATTAGGTCACACCCCCCCCCTTTTAATAAAATCCTATGACCTCCAGGATCAAATATAAAAACCCTGTTTTTTTTTTTAAACCCTTCATAACCTGGTCCTCTCTTGCCTTTCTAGTCTTCTAGAACATAGCTGACCTCCTTGTTCCAACACAACGTTCCATCCATCGGCTCCAAGCCTTTGTACTGGCTGTTCTCCACGCCTGGAATTCTCTCCTTCCTCATCCCTGCCTCTGATCTTTCTGGCTTCCTTCAAGTACCAGCTAAAATCCCATCTTCTGGGAAAAAAAGCCTTTCTTGGTCCCCCTTAATGCTAATTCTTTGCTTCTACAATAATCTCTGATTTAGTCGACTCGGACCTTGTTTGTACATAGTTCTTTGACATTGTCTCCTCTATTAGACTGTGAGCTCCTTGAGAGCAGGGACTGTTTTTGCCTTTCTTTGTATCCTCAGTGCTAAGCACAGTGGCTGGCACATAGTAGGTTCTTTTTTAGGAGGCAATTAGGGTTAAGTGATTTGCCCAAGGTCATACAATTAGTAAGTATCTGAGGTCAGATTTGAAACTCGGGTCCTCCTGACCTGTGCTCTATCCACTGTGCTACCTAAAGGCTTCTGAGGGAGAGAGAGAAAGAGAAAGAGAGAGAAAGAGAGAGAGAGAGAGAGAGAGAGAGAGAGAGCAAGAGAGAGTGTGTCTAAAATGAAGTTTGAGCTCATCCTTTCAATTCAAATTTAAGGCCTTTATTAAGCATCTACCATGCATGGAGCCCTGTGGTAACTGCAAGGGATAAAGATGATCAGAAAAGACAAACTTCCTGCCTTCAATCGTCTTAGAATAGAAACTGGATTTGACGTTTCATTAATATAGGGAACTAACTGCCAGATGAGAAAACTACTCCAAATTCATGTTGGGTCCTTCTCTGCAGCCTAGAGCTTAGATTACTGAGATTAAAGGTATCAAATGGTGTCCACCAGGGCCAAATTTGGCCCATAACACTCCAGTGCATCCCGAGCCAGATGAAAATGTGATAGGGAAATATTTAACAAAATAAATTAAAATATATTAAAACAGATAGCATTGATATGTGGTTTTCTAAGTCAATATGTAGCCCACAAGGAGCCTTAGGGTGTGGTTTATTGGCCCTGATTTCTATCTGAACACCACCGAAGTTAAGTGTTTTGCCCAAATCTCAAAGCCAGTATTGTGTCAGAGGACATGAACCAGTCTTCCTGACTCCAAGGCCAGCTCTCTATTCATTTCACCAAGCTGCCTCTCAAAGACTTTATAATCTTTTTTTTTTTAACCTCCAAGCTCCTTTTATTTTTTTCTTTTAAAAAAAAGTTTTATTCCTTTTCATAAATATTTATCCATAAATACAAAAAGACCAAAAAAAGAGAACATTTCCATGTATACAGTACAACGTAAAAGGAGGATTCAATATAAAACCATGCATTTCTATTTCACACTGCTTACTTAAAAAAAAAAA